GATTTCTTCCATTCCAACCTCAGCACTACTCTGGGCAAAATCAATGTCAGTGACAACCCTGCAGACCTGCACAAGTTGCAGGAGTGACCTAGCCAGTCTCCAGACCTCAGTCCTGTAGGAAATCTGTGGACAGAGCTCACGTTTTGAGTTGCCAAGTTGCAGCAAAGACACCTAAAGGATTTAGAGAGTTGGAGTAGTAGACCAAAAGCTCCCAGCGCTACTTCTCAAATTAAATTAACACTGACTTTAAATGATGCAGCATCTGTCTATCCTGTTAAATCTCCAGTGACATTTTGTATCTGCAAAATAAAATGTTACATTAAAATACAAGACGTGTTATTCCAGTTTCTTATAAGCTTCTTCTGTCATCGCTGTGGGTTTTCTGCTTAAAACAAAGCAGAACCTTCCTAAAGTATGTGTTTGATTAAAGGTCTCCCGTTTCTTAGCTAAAGACTGACTTTCAAACACATTTTTATAACCTTTACCGTGTTTTTCTTACCCAGTCTGAAGGAGGTGAAGTCCCCCACAAAGTCAACTCGAGGCTGAGTCCCCCTGGTCACCAGCCTCAGGGTCAGGTAGTTTCCTGTGGACAGCACTGGTCGGGGTGGGCTCTTCCCACAAAGAGGAGGCCCCAAGAGAGGCGAGGTTGTGTCCCGACCATCATAGAACTGAACGTAAGAGCCGGCATGACACGGATCTTCTGAGTTTTCACCAGAGGTAGACTGCGATCTGGGGCTGAGAGGGGCAGAACCGTGGGGGGACAGAGACTCTGGCAAGACAGGCGCAGGACTCAGGGGGGCCACTCGAAGCAAGCTGTAAACCAGGAAGAAGCGGAAATGGAACTGGACCTTGTCTTTGGGAGAGCTGGCCCGCATTGTCAGGTGGCAATCAGTCCCCATGATCACAAAGTAGTACTTCTTGGATTCCTGGTGTGAGTTGATGATCATACCGTCACCTTGGATTGTCTGGCCACAGAAATCCACCACATTCACTGACAGGGAAGAAAAAAAACATATTACACATATTACACAGTCAAAGCAAGGTTGTTACAGATTTTTAAAAGGTTACTACGTTTTTGATCAATTTCTCTTTATTAAAAATGGGCTAACCTGAACACACTCTGTGTTTTTGAGTTGTGTTGCTTTTGCTTTTTTTGTTTTTTTACAGTATTTTAAAGTATTTTGAACCATTATGGTTGTTTGAGTTTATGTTGCCTTCCTTTCATCTTAAAGCTATTGTCGTGTAACGTCAGCCAATAAATTTAACAACAAATATTTTCGCTTTCCCATTCTCTGTAAACTGTGCAACTCTGACTTCACTGTTTAATGTTCTTACAAACCAAAAGAATTCAGTAGTGTCTTTTTTTTTTTAAACTAAACTAACGTTTGCACATCAGCACAGATATGGATTTGCAAACGAGATGAAGGCTTCCACCTGAATACCATTTTGTTCACAATTACCAACCCACAATACCAGCTTTTTGGTTTACACTTGACTAAAATTTGAATTCCTTC